TCCTACCAGTCAAATTTCGTCTAAACCTCTGTATTATTATTTATTCATTTTGTCACACACATAAAAGATATACATTTACATAGAGATATAACAGTAACAATAACTAGAAAATGCTGTGACAGGAGAAGAAAACAGAAACTAAATTCCAATTGATATTCGACCCCTTAACAATTAATGGATAACGAGACGTACTAAGACAATTATGCACGAACATATCACAGATTACATGCAACTTAACATATAGGATACTGTACAACGAATTTTAGAGTAAAATTATCTATGGTGGTATGTAGGTAAACAGTTTGGCTTTATAATAAGTGTGTAGATGTTGCTTGAAGGTCTGTAGGGAATGGGCGGCTTTGATGATCGGTGGTAGATTGTTCCAGAGGATGACGGTGCGTGGGAAATAGGATTGTCGGAATAATTCTTGATTTTTGGAGACGATTATGTTATAGTTGTTAGGGTCGAAGTTGCGTGTGGCCATGGATAATAAAATAAATGGATAGGAAACTAGCTGACGTGACCTAATGTTTTTACTGGGATTGATGGCGTGGTTGGATGCCTCATCCTAGTTGAAAATCAAATTCTCAAAAACGGCATGTTTAGCAATAATACAGCTAAACATTTTAGTCAAAGAGCAAATAAATGTAACCACGCCATTCTACGATGAAAAGTCTAAGTATTCCCAGTCAATTTTAGCAAATATTTCAAGCACTAAACACTGAAAAATACATCGCAAATTTCGTTAAAATTTGTGACGCCAATTTCGTAGCTACAAATGTAAAAAAATACAAAACAAAGACGAAAAACTTTTACCTTGAATACTTTGTCGTGGCTTAGGCATGTTTTTAAAACAATTAGACCAGTTTACGCTTCAAGATCACCCTTTTAAAGTGGAAAATATAGCAAAACAACAAATATGCCGAGAACTTTGGTAACATTCGCAATACGCGTGACGTCACGTTTTTCAACAAGGATGCAGTCAATGACGTCAGAAGTTTCCAATCCATTTATTTTATTATCCATGATGTGGCATAGGGGTTAGTTGCAGGGTGGCGCTGTCGTCAGAGAAAGCACCTTTCACCTCTGAGATCGTGGGTTTGATTCTCGCTACGGACTTATGTGAAAAGAGTCAGTCAACGCTCTGCCAAAAGTCGTGGGTGTTCTCCGGGCGCTCCGGTTTCCTCCCACAGGGAAAGTTGACAGGGTGGATTAGGATAAACACAGTTAAGAAAGTGATATCACAATTGTCGCGAAGATAAAATAGACTGGGCTATGTATATAATTAGGTAAGCGTAATACTTCATATAAAGCGCATTTGATCGTATCCACATATAAATTTCGCTATATAGAAATATTAATTGTAATCGTAAACGTTTCTGTGACAACATCCCATTGGACTAGTATCCCAAAGGTCTCCGGTTCGATTCCCACCGTGGCCAAGCTAACTTTTCAGCCTGCCCACTTTGCCCAGTGTGGATGCACACTCAGAGTAACATCACAAACACCATATTCACCTGAGTACATTGAATTGAATTGAATTTATTAGTTGACATTCCCTAAAATGGGCTTTTCAATGACAATTTACATGGATCAGTTTAAAAGAAATTATGAATTATTGACTATGTTTACAACAATCTTATCAAAGTTATTACGTGAACTAAAATTATACTATATGTTATAGCTTATGAGTTAAAAAAGTTAAAAATAAGGATATCGCTTCTCAATAAGAATTGTCTTAAGTTTCGTGTTAAAATTGTTCAAATCACTAATTGATTTCAGCTCTGTATCTAGACCACTGTATGAGTCCCTCGGTACTTGAACAATCTTTGACTAACACACACAAAAAATAATCATATCATAGAATACACTGATATCGACGGAACTAGACTCAGTTCCGAAATATCAACTCGAACCGACTTGACCACGTAGCTCAGTTGGCAAAGCATTGGACTAGTATCCCAAAGGTCGCGGGTTCGATTCCCACAGTGGCCAAGCTAACTTTTCAGCTTGCCCAATGTGGATGCACACTCAGAATAACATCACAAACATCATATTCACCTGAGTACATAACACCAACACACACAAAAAATAATCATATCATAGAATACCCTGATATCGAAGGAACTTAGCCTGCTCGCAGCCTGAAATTTTCCCCTTCCAATTCTAAATTTCACGCTGCGAGCAGGCTAAAGGAACTAGACTCAGTTCCGAAATATCATCAACTCGAATCGACCACGTAGCTCAGTTGGGAGAGCTAACTTTTCAGCAGTTGGCCGGTGTGGATGCACACTCAGAGTAACATCACAAACATCATATTCACCTGAGTACATAGCACCAACAGTAGAAATTTTGCATAGGTAAGTTTTGAACAATTTGCAAGGACTCTTTGAGGGAACTCAGTGTTAAAAACCAAGTCAGTTTCCTCAAACATTTCTTGCAAATCCTTCAAAACGTTGAATTTACTTATGCAAAATTCCTACTGTGATCCCGGAAATTTTGATTGATTCAATTTTAGCTAAAGACATCTTCAGATCGTCCCGACTCAATGCTAAATTCAGAAACAGAGGAAACATCATCAAAGAGCAATGTGAAGACTATGGGTTGGGATCCAGTAAGTAAAGCTCCGTTTTTGGTACGGCACGGATAAAACAACTGGTACCCGTACCACTGTTTTGGTTCTTGGACTACCTATCTAGGCAGTCCAAGAACCAAAAAAGTGGTACGGTACCAAAAATCAAGCGTAGTGTAAACGGGGCTTAAATTGTTAAATATCAAGAATTTGGGCATCTTGTTCGATATATTAACTCAACTGTAGATGGGTTTTTAGTTGATATTTCTACCTACCCACCTACCTACCGTAGACCACAGGTTTTTCTGGTTGCTCTGTAGCTCAATTGATCAGAGTTGACCGGGATTGCAAGGCGGCAGGCTCTATCAGTTGTGTATCAGAAAATGTTTCTTTTTATAGAGTTTGCTTATCAAACGAATTCTTGGCAAAGTGAAGCCTGTCAACACAGAAGAGGTATTGATTTTAATCAACGTTGCCTGTAAAAACTTGTTCTGCAATTCATTTCAACTATGTTTGCAAAAGACTCTGGACAGTGTGCAAACCGCACTTTCAAGCTGGGAGATCGGACCTCTCTACTCAAGGTCTTAACATAATTGAATAGAAAGAGCTACCTTTACATTGACATCAATAAATGGTTAGACTACTTTCGCATCTTCTCAGATAAGGGCAATAATCTGTTGGGAAATCCGCTCCTCGATAAGTAAGGGACTCAATAAACTTTTATTTTCTGCATTCACTGAATATTTTGCTTTCTAGGTAGAAAATGCAGATGCTGAAGAAATACACATGGCTGGGTATTTAGAAAAACTCCCTGTGAATCAAAAGAAGGTGAATAGGTCAAAATACTGTTTTTTTGCTGAACAACCGATCGCCATCTCTTTCCATTCAAAGTAATTTAAAAAACTTTTAAACTTTAGGCAACATTGTTGAAAAGTTGGCGGAAGCGATATTTCAAAATATTACATGGAAAGTTGTTTTATTTTGAGGTATGTTAGCTAATGCATGCTTCTATACAACCCTGGAAAATCCATTGCAATCCAAAACCCAGCCAGAAACCATTGTAAGTCAGTTGTATTCTATTTTGTGCAGGATCATCGTTCCGCTGCCCCGATCAGCTTTATCAAACTTGGAGGTTGCCAGGTAGCAATAATGTAAAAAGTGATCTTAAAATTTACGACTCAACCGTCATTATATATGTGGTTTACCTTCGAACGGGAAGCGAAGGAAAATCTTAACGTCTCTCTTATCTTCAGGTGGTCGAGATGGGAAGCAAATGTCTGGCAGTGACTGAAAATGATGAAGACTTGGTAAGGATCTATGTGTAACGACCGACATATTAAAGTGCGACTAACCCCAAATATGATTTTTTATATGTGTAATATTTGGGTTATTCGAAGAAGAAATGTAATATATCTTTATTAATAATAATAAATTCCATCTTGATCAACTTTTTCACTGTCAAAGTTTCCAGATATTATGTCATTAGGTGAATTGCAAATTAGTTTTCCTTTGTTTTTTTGTACCAAAAATTTACCTTATGACATCATATCCGGAAACTTTGACAGTGAAAAAGTTGACCAAGATGAGGGTTTTTACTATAACGATATATTACATTTCTTCTTAGAATGACCCAAATATTACCCATACCAAAAATTATATTTGCGGTTAGTCACACTTTAACATACTTGTCAAACTAAGCAACCTTGCCCCGGGGACCTGGGTAAAATTACCTTCAAAACGCTTGCCTTCAAAACTCTATCGATTACGAAACTTGATAGCAGGGTTCAATTCTCGTCTGACTCTGAGACCCTGGCATTCTTGGTTATATACTTACATCTTATAGCGATGTTCTTCATCTCGTTAGGGAGGTAGAATGGTGGTCATTCGTTGTGGATCCTGGCCGGAACTTCAAGATTGGAGGAAAGCTTTGGAAAGCGAAGCTAAAACGAAAGTGAAACGTCAGCATTTTGAACTCGTCCAGGAGAAGGTTGGAGCTTGTCATACAGTATCGGTAAATTTTAAATTTTGTAGGATTTGTTAGAAATGTTTCAGAGAACTGACTCATTGTTTAACACTCAGTCAGTTCCCTCAAAGATTTCTTACAAATCTTTCAAAACCTAGAATTCACCCATGCAAAATTTCTACTGTGATCACAGAAACTTTGATAGTGTAAACTATCCTTTATAACACTCAGTAAGTTTCCTCAAACATTTCTTACAAATCCTTCAAAACTTAGAATTTACCTTTGCAAAATTCCTACTGTGATCACAGAAACTTTGATAGTGTAAACCATCCTTTATAACACTCAGTAAGTTTCCTCAAACATTTCTTACAAATCCTTCAAAACTTAGAATTTACCTTTGCAAAATTACTACTGTGATCACAGAAACTTTGATAGTGTAAACTAGCCTTAATATTAATAGGTTTTGTTTGTGGAAACACCACGTAAATTTATTACTGCAGTTATAAATTGCAGTTGTAAATTTATTACTGCAGTAATAAATTTACGTGGTGTTTCCACAAACAAAACCTATTATATTTTATCACCATGCAAACATACAAAGAACTTATAGCCTTAATATTTTTCATTATTTTAGAAACAAGTCATTATCATTGATTTTGGATCGTCTTCTATAAAGGCTGGATTTTTAGAAGATCAGGGTAAGTTTTGTTTCCTCACACTGACATCGTGTATAACGTGCAAAATGTTGAGCTCAGTATAGTGTCTGCCAATGTCCAATGATCTTTTACCTACATGTAAATGTTTTTTACTAGCCTGGCCACAAGTTATAATTCCTTCAGTCTATGCTATAAACAAAGAAGACAGGTACATTATAATGTTGAACTATACCTGTACATCAATAATTCAATATAGATTGAAAAATATATTTGTTTTAAAATATTTTCATCTCTAATTTAGTAAAAGCAGATTATACGGTTATGAAGCCATTACTCCGTTAGTGAGAAATACATGCAAGCTTGTTTATCCTCTACGTTCTCCTCTCACAATAGGAAAGGTATGGAAATATTCTAGCCTTGTTTCAGGGACTAATACAAGCACTTTTCTACCACCGATGTTCGATTCTCGCTAAACGGATTCATGTGAAAGAGTCAGTCAACACCCTGCCGAAAGTCGTGGGTTTTCTCCGGGTCAGTGGCGTAACTACTATGGGCTCAGACCGGGAGAACCCGGGGGCCCCAACCCCAAAGGGGGCCCCCTGGCTTAGGCGATAGAGCAAAAACATTGGCCAGGGCCTCTGATATGTTACAATGTCGTTTTCTGACCATCAGAATTCTGTAAAATCTCTCCCCCAAAGTCCAGGAAATGGCATTTCAGAGTCTAGATTCAAAAATTTTCCGGATGAGCATGCCCTGAACCCCCTAGAAAACTTGTGCATATACGGCGCTCGACTCGTGCCTTTGGCACTTCTACTACACGCGTAAAAATCATCATGTTGATGCAAGTTGTTCAAAACAGGAGCAAACAATGTTGTGCTGCACCCCGTGAACAATATTGTTAACAAGTTGTTGAACCATCAATATTGTTGCAACTTGTTGACAATCATGTTAACAACTTGCAACAGTACTGATGGTTGAACAACTTGTTAACAATATTGTTCACGGGGTGCAGCACAACATTGTTCACTCCCGTTGTGAACAACGCCGAACAACCTGATCAATTTTTACCCGTGTAGGGGGCCTTCGAAAATTTTGAACCGGGGCCCCCTGCTTTAACGTTACGCCACTGCTCCGGGTGCTCCGTTTTTCTCCCACAGGGAAAGTTGACAGTGTGGGAATATAACAATTGTTGTAAAGATAAAATAGTCTACACGCGTAAAAACGCTCAGGTTGATGCAATACTGATGAAAACAGGATTGAACAATGTTTTGCCGCCCACATTGTTCATAGCTGTCAACAATATTGAACAATATTGTTACACCCGATTCAGGCTCAACAATAGTTCAATATTGTTGACAAGTGTGAACAACGTGGGCAGCAAAACATTGTTCAGTCCTGTTGAGCAGCGGGCTCGGACTCGGAGTTTTTTGCCGTGTAGGCTAAGTATGTAATTAGATAAGCGTAAAACTTGATGTAAAGTTCATTATTTTGATTACTTATATCCACATGTGAATTTGCGCGATAGAAATGCTAATCGTAATCATATTTTTTCTCAAAAGTGCAGTTCTGAACGCAGGGAACGTGATTTCGTAGAAATCAAGTTTTTGTGTGTGTGTTTTGGTGGGGTAGTGTTCTTTTTCTAAAACTTAATCGTCTTTTGAAAATACGGTAGTAGATTAAAATGCTTGTATTAATCTCTGTGTTGAACGTTTCAGTAATCTTCGACAGTCTATTATTACTTATTTTAGAGATTGAAAATAATTTCTTATATTTTAACCTTGCCATGTTTCTAGTATTTGTTGGATCCAAATGATCTGATTGGATTTCTAGAGATTATATTCCAAGAACTTCAAGTCGACCCAAGTCAATATCAGGTACATCTAAAGTCTGTACCAAAGTTTATTTTCGCTTCTTTTAAATTTTTTTTTGGTTTTTTCCTGAGATACCAATCATTTTCAATTAATTATTGTTGCGATGCCTAGGTTGTCATGACTACTCCTGTGAATCTTAGGGATCAAGATAAGGTAAAGCCGTTCAATAAGAAAAATACCATCAGTTATTCGGCCTATGAGTCGAGTCAAGATGGCGGAATATATCTACGAAAGTCGAAAAATAGTTTTAATACCATTTTTTCCAGCTAATTCCAGGTTTTTTTCCTAACGGATCGTATCGCTAAACAAGTTATCAACTATTATAAATAAGCAGATAATTAGCGAACATTTTCCATTTTTCTACTTCGCAAAACTCTTGTAGTTTTTGTGTCGCCATCTTGTTTTTCGCTATTCGCCGCATATGAGCTAGCTGATATATATGGCGAATAGCTCAACCAATCAGATTGCAGAATAAGCTCATATACTGTCGATGACTATATTATAATAGTGTTATGGTTATACACACAAGTATATATGACAGATGAAGTAAAATTTTTGTTATTTTTAGGAAAGATTGGTAGAGATGTTATTTGATTATTTCCAAGTGGCCACAGTCTATATGAAATGTCAAGCTATTCTCTCGATGTATTCCTACAGCGCAACATGTGGAATTGTGGGTAAGGTCTTGAAGTAGTGAAAATTAAATGATGCATTTGGCCAGGACTGGGACCGACAGTTTGGAAACTCAATTAAAGGACAATGAAAATCCATTCCAAGTTTTTACCATAGACGGATTTTCTGGGGGGGGGG